AATAGACCAATGACCCGAACTGCGCAGACACAGTTTTTTAAAGGGGGGGGTAATGTTACGGCTTGAGTTTACAGATGATAGGTTTATGGTATCACGTGATGTAGAGTCTGGTTGAGTAAGCGTTGGTCCCGGAAGCGAGCTGGTGGAGTTTTCAGCCCAGCGAGGCTGCAGACCTCTTTCTCTCCTTGTCTTTTCTTTTAGTTATTGTGCGTAGCTTTAGGTCCAAATACAAAGCAATTACTCTTTTATATTTCGAGGGAGTCTTCTAGTGTCAACCTGAGGTCGGTCGTAATATGATAGCTTGGTCTGTAGACATAGAGTTCCTTACTGTAAGGGCTATTAATCTTAGGAATTTGTGTAGCCTACACTGGCTAGAGTAGGCCATGAAAGCAAGGGAATCTTCGGGAAGGATCTCGAATCCAAGGAGCTTAGAAGATTGTCAATGAACCTTGTTGAACCATTTGAGCTGGTTCGGATGCTTTAATGTTTGAGACTAGAGGTATCTGGAAGAATAGCTCGCACAGGAGCTTTCAATTGAAGTAAATAAAAAGATGTAATTGTCTGTTTGTCTGTCTTCCTTCCTCTTTTTCTCAGCTTATACATCTACACATATCTACTACCTGCCATATGATGATAATATCTAGATATAGTTTCCTTACATCACAGGATACAATCCAAACATGTTGCAGCCAAGATGTGATCCTAAAACAACTCAATACCAGTCCACTATGTCTGTTACACAGATGCCAAATATTTTCTAGCTGAAAATTACCGAAAACGCCAAGGTTTTCCTGAGGCAATCACAAATTATGTCAGGTACTGGCTTGGCATGTTATTCTGAAAACAATGTTACGGTCATGTTAGAAAAATGAAATTTACATGAATCACAAAACATTAAGTCAGGAATACAAATTTCTTCGGGCTCTGATCCTGGTCTGACAAACCATCTGGAAGTACACTGAAGGTTCATGAGGACAACAGGTGTATCAAGAACCTTCTAGGGTAATGTCAGATTGGAGTTTAGGCGTTTGAGCTGTAGCGAATTCGAGGGGCTAGAAGAGGTTAAATGGACTGCAAAATATGACTGAAGGTCTACTGGAGATAATTTGGAGGAAATTGAGGTTTGAAAGATGGTTAATATAAGTATTTAAAAGGTCTAAAGGTTCGAGAGGGTACTAATGATAACTTAAGGTACTAGAGGCAACTAGAGGTGACTATAGGTGACCAGAGGTGATCTGAAGATGGTGTTTGTGACAGAAGACTAAGCTTAAAGAACTCTATGCCTACAGACCAAACCATTGTATATTTACCTGCCCTCCTTCCACTAGCTCATCATAACATAGACCTTAACATAATATCAACATGACACCATGTGCCAAGAACTGTCCTGTTGTGATGGCAACATATGAAGAAAGGTAAAATTATATCCTGAAGAAAGGATCGGAAGAGGAATCCTTACAGGTATTATCAAGGAGTCCATGTTATTCTAGACATAGGGAGAGCCTTATAGGAGAGGAGAATCTTAGAGTGATTATGTATTTGTAGTCTAGCTTTAGGAATTCTCTCTCCAGAGAATTATAATTAATATACTGTACTTACAAGATTGCTCAGGCATTTTGTACTGAAGCCGTGATATTTATGCTTAGTTTTTTATCACAACCACTACCTTCGGATCACCTCTGGTTACCTCTAGTACCCTTAGTTACCACTGGTACCCACTCGAACCTGTAGACTCTTTAGATATTTAAATTACCCATCTTTCAAACCTTAAGTGCTCCAAATTATCTCCAGTAGACCTTCAGTCACCTCTTGCAATCCATCCGACCTCTTCTCACCCTCCTATTACGCATCAGGTCAAACGCCTATGCTCCATTCTGACAAATGCTTTATCTACAATTTTCCCCACCCCTTCTGACATTCACTTGGTGGAAGTGGAGGTTGTTCTATTTATATTTTTGTGATTTTGTTGAGGGGCCTCCTAGCATTAACACTGCATTTTTGAGTCCAGGATAGTGACAGTGTAACGGCTGTTAAGCCTAGGGATTCCTGTAGCCTACACTGGCTAGCGCAGGCAATGAATGCAAGGGAATCTTCGGGAAGGATCTCGGAATACAAAGAGCTTAGAAGATTCTCAATGAACCTTCTGGAAGCACACTGAAGGTTCATGAGGACAATAGGTGTATCAAGAATCTTCTAGGGTATTGTCGTGGATTCCATGTTATTCCAGATATAGGGAGAACCTTACAGAAGAGGAGTATCTCAGAGTGTATATATATTTGTATTCTAGCTATAGGAATTCTCTTTCTAGAGAATTATAATTAATATACTGTACCTACAAGATCGCCCAAGCATGTTGTACTGAAACCGTGACAGACAGTTTCAGCTGCCTTGCTGTCACAGTTCGAATATGGAAAGCGAATGGGTATTTGTATGATTGAAAGGTAAAGCTATAATTCATCTATGTGGAAGCAAACTACCTACAAGTCTCCTCTGCTACTTATACACATCCAGAGGTATCTAAATCTAGCCTATGTTTACAGTGGCAATGAAACTGACGTAAGGTTTGTTCTGCCACACGGGTAACGCTTCCAATACTCTTGGCACTATCTTTTATGTAGCTTCAGTGGCAATCTCGTATCAGTTTTCGTCTGCTGATAATCCTCGGAGCGATAGAGAATATAGGTTGCCTTTGATAGCCATCGGAGGCTACAGGACTTATCGGCTCACAAGCTGTCACACTTGCCCTTCCTTTCCAAGTACGCTAGAGCAGGGTGATAATGACAATTTCCACGTTCTCTGATGTTATGTAATTTTACGGGGTTGCGAGGTAGAATTACTCCTTTATTTCGTTTTTGTCGGGCCATGCAGCTGCCATCATTCAAGTGGTAAGGTTCCGTGCAATTTGAGCACTTTGGCACCTTGGCCTGGCACTCTGATATCTGATAGGTTCCCCCACATCGTCCACATTGTTGGCTTTGAGTACAGGAGCGCGTAATGTGGAATCGTCTGCAATGTGGGAATTGCTCAATTGGTCGTGGACGCGAGAAAAGAATTGCCGGCCTGCTCTTATCAAAGAGACGAAACTTGTGTTTGCTGGTATTTTTTGGAAGTGAAAAATCCAGCTTGTTGAGTACTGCCCAAATTTAGTTTCTGTGGGCCCTACCTGGGTTTGTAAGGCGCCACATACCGCCTGGCACTTGTTCTTCATCATTTGGTCAGTGACTAAGATGCTACCTTCGAGCGTCTGGATGTACAGTGGCACATGTTGTGCAATAATTCACGTGCATTTGGACGCTGTCTCAATCACAGTGTTATATTCCTGTAGAAAAGGTGCAATTCTAATGATTGTGTCTCTCAATGCATCTGATTTGCAGTCGAGGGCGATCCCCGACCTGACTGGGTACATCGAGGTGATAGCTGAGGCTACTATCCTAGCTTTGTCGGACATGATTTTCTTGATCGTAACTAGCGATTGCTTGTGCCAGTGGTGATCTCTCCCCAATCGAAGGAACAGGCAAATATCTTCCTTTGAGTTTATCTGTGCTGAAGGGCGGCTTATTGGAGCAGGTCTTCTCGGAACTTGCACAATTGGCAGAGTCGGAAGCTTGGTCGCTTTGCGGGTTACTGATACTCCGGGCGAGCTAGTGTCTTGAACCTTTGGGGGTAGGGCGTGGCTGTGATCCTCAACAGCCGTATTGTTTCTAGGCACGACTTATTTAGGAGTGCTTGCCTGTGACAGGAACCCCGAGTTGGTGATGATAATGTCGATTTAATAAACTGTATAAAGAATAAAGAGAAATCTAGCTACAACTAACAGGTATTTATAATATTCAGCCCCTCAGTGATTGTCTTGACTGATTTTTTCACTCTAGGCCGAATACTTGCTACCCAGCCACACATTATCAAGAATCACTACGCTGTGACACTGATCTGGCCCCTTGGCTGGTAGTGCCGTATCTTCCAGTTTCCTCTATCATTTCCTTCCAGTCTTACAACATGAATCTTCAACAATACGCTTAGGTATCCACATAAGCTCAGACAACGGCCAAACCGTGACATTGCCATAGTGGGGGGCTTGTTACTTGGAAGATTTTATGTTTCCGCCTGATCTATTGCGAAGGCAACTCCTCACTGTCTACAAGAAAATAATTCAATTTATCATGTTTAAATAAATCAAAACTAGCTAGTTTCTCTCAGGTAGATCCTAAAGTCCTCCATAGTCATAGACTCAGACAGGACTATAATAAAATCTAATCTAATCTACTGCGAAGGCATTGATGACAGGCGTGATCGGGTCCGTCAAAGTCGCAAAGACTGCTGCTGTTCGCTCCTCTCTTTTACTCTTAGCCCAGGAGTCGATTAGTTCTAAAAATTCCTGGGCTATACGCATTCTTTCTTTTCCTTGTTCTGCATTTTGCATTGCATTCACAATGCCAAGCAGGCTTGGGTGAAGTTGTCCTCGTAGATCGGAGGGCGTTTTCGATCACGATGCAACAGCTAGGGCCATTGCACCGGTTGGAGTTTCTTGTAAAAGGGTAATGAGTAATGCAATGCTGGATGGGTCGCGAGGTGGATGTTGCATATTAAAAGTGGAATGTCACGGAGTATTTAAAATTATTTTTCATGAATCCATATGACGCCACACTTATTGGAGGATGTAAAGAAACCCAAGATAGTACACTCTAATCGTCAAAGCAGCCGAATAAGATCGCAAAGTATTAAGCGATGCAAAATTGCAAATACGTGAAGGGGGCATTATTTCAGTGGGCTGAAGAGAAGACTCGAAAAGCCATCCCCTGTAGCAAAGTTTACTTCATCTTTACATAATTTACTTTTACCTCAAGTTACAACCAGCTTAAAATTACCACACGATGATTACATGTGCTGCACTAGCTGTATAGCTCGCATTTAGATTGTCATACTGCCGACTTACAGTAGACAAATTGGTCTGGCTTTCATGGTAACCTGTGCTGGTATTGCTTTTTCACGATACATTTCTTCTAATCAGGCTGTGGCATTTGTATATCCTCGAAGCAGAATAAATCTCCAGCCGAAAGCTCCACAGCTGTCTTAGGCTTCCCATCTGTACAGCCACCAATCTCTCTTCTGAATTGATCGCCGTAGCTAGATAATTCTTCAGAAGATTCTACTCTCAAGTTTTTTCCATTCCAGCTAAGCCTTGGGATGCTGTTCAAGTCTGGTAATTCACCTTCAAATGGTAAAATCCTATCGAGAGCATCCTTTATCAATCGTCCTTCCTTAGGTTGTAATTCTAAAGACTGAGTTGGTTCTGACGCAATGACGGAGTCTAAATCTTCCTCAGATCCAAGTTCTGATTGATACTCTTCTGGTGCCTTGTATAACTCCGTGTGAATCGTAGTAAGAGAATGTGGAGTTTCAAAGTTTGGGTAAAGAACAAAATATCCCCTTAGACGTGCTAGCTGAAGAACATTTTCCAACCAACTCGGGTACTTTTTACTAACTTCTTTACGGTTAAGTGTTTTGGGCACAGGAAGTCTATTTTTAGAATCGAGAACTCGGGAAACAAAATCATGGAGCTCAACCCATTTGTCGGCAAAAAATAGACAAGCATTGCTATTTGGAGCTTGCCACAGGAAGTTTACCGACTTTTTTTCGTCGTCGATTGGCGGTGTAAAGGTGGTGGTGTCATTGAAATAAGTGGATGGCAAATCGAGACTTATACCAAGGAGTTTACTCTGAAGTTCAGATGTTACGTTACCATGTTTATAATTAAGAATTAAATACTTGAGATAACTAAAAAATAAAGGCGAAAGTTCTGCTTGCGGTGAGAGCACTAAGACTTGTGACTCATATGGGTTTGTGGGCCAGAAAGATTCCAGCACACGAATAGCGCTCTCATCGGCACTGAGAGCATTTTGGGGTATACGATGATGAACTGATAATAAATTTCCCTCTATAGGACTACTTTGCGCTGGCCATCTGAAGTTCTGGAGATATTTGGATGTTTGTTCCTCCACATAATGCGGTAACTCTATGGTAAGATGAGGAGGACTCATAGATAAGTAATCGGCCTTTTTTAATGATTCTAGCAGCCTTATTAATGATCCACTTGCAGATGTCTGGGCATGAATGATGATTTCGATGGAGATTTGGTTCCAGTCTTCAATAAATTAGCAAAGTTCTCGTCAATATACAAAGAACATACCTCTTAGAGACCTGCCGTCAAGCTGTAGGATCCATCTTAAATTTTCTTCGGTGTTTTGGGGGAGTTCAATGATTGTCTTGGAAAGATCTAACGCCGTTGACTTGAGACTTTTCAGAAACCAAGCTTCCTCTATCCCTGACCCATCGACTAAGGTTGCGTGAGGATTGACAAAACCATTAATCTTTTTGAACGCAGCCGAGACACTAGCTTGCATACGGAATTCTGAACTAGAAGAGGAGTGATCCGGACGGCCATCTTTCTAGTTAGCGGAGTATTTCGATGAAGTATTGACCTACCGTGAAATGTAACTTGGCAGTTTTTATTAACTCCATTAGCTGATTTCAGAATATTTAATGGCATTGTATCGCGACCCATAATGGCAAAATGCAAATTGTTTCGTTTTCGTGCGGCCATTTCGCAAGCCAAAAGCAGAAGTTTCCCAGCACTCTTGATATTAGCTGCTGCGAAAAGCTAAAAATCGTTAACACATACAGTATATTTATTTCGTTTGACATACCACATTTTGGTTTGGAGCTTCATTATCTTGCAATATTGGGGCTGTGGTCAAGTGATGGAATTTGATGGCCCCATTATACTCAAAAGTTGTTGAATGTTTTTCTGGTAGTATAGATGTGGTGACAACATCTTTTATCTTTGAAATACTTGATTGCAAGCTGTCGGGGTAGATAGAACCAGGTTCGAGGTTCGAATGCTGAAGGCTGTTCGATACTGACTTGAACGAAAAATACAATATAATCAAGCCTAGTATACCATATGCAGCCCTTTTAAGAAATCTCCTCTGGAGCGCGTACATATTTGGATGACCCCGTCCCAATCTGAATGTTTTTTTATCTCCAGGTCTATGATCATCATCTTTCTTCCCCAGCTCTTCGTCTCCAGGAAATATTCGTGTTGGAAAAAGCATGACCAAACATTCCCGTCACAATCGATGCTTCAGATCTCCGCCAACGTGCTTCTTGCAAGAAACAAGTACCAAATAAAGAGCATACCTTGAATGTAAGCAAGTGGAAATCTGGTTCGCATCGAATCACAATTCTTATGAACAACCTTGCGGGTGGACATCCTGGCCAGATCAAGATGTGATGACGTCATACTCTCTTAATAACGCGATACTCTCCTTAGACCCTGAAAGTCCGAAAGATTACACATGACTTAGGTCAAATAGCTAAGGTTTAACTATGTGATTGTATATGTATTTACGTATTAGCCAATTGGTACAATCCGCGCTCTTACGGGAGCTTGAGCACGATTGGGGTTGTGCGGTATCAGGTTAACTACCATTAAGTGCATGAGCCACGTCCCACCTATATCACCAGACCACCTTAGACTTCGCCCATGTGTTGAACATGTCAAGTTTAACCGAAGGACGAAGGCGGAACACCTAGCAGTGATGTCGTCTGCTAACCTGGGAGTGAAATATTCCCCCAAAGCCAAGATTGAGCCATCCCCCAACGGTCAAATCGATTATTCTCTGACTGGGAGTCTTGTCTGAAGGAGTGACGCTGGGCTGATTTTGGTCGAAGCTCCCGGTTTGCAGAGATTTCTAAACTACACAAATTGTGAAAGAAATTATTAAGACTTTTCAAGCCGATATAAGCTTAAGCTGATTATCGCACTCTCCCTCAATACACGAAACAACTTTTAAGTTACTATCTAATGCCGAAAAAAAGTCACAATATGATCCGCGACCCTTCCTTCCAAAAATGTTGTAGACGGGAAAATATCGAAAGACTCCAAACTTGGATTACTGAGTACGAATTTTCTACGACGAAATCAATGCCTGTGAGTGAAGATGGGAGGGATTCTGGGCTGTAGGAACTTTGGAAGTGGTTAAAATAAAGGATTCAAGATTGCAAGAGTTTTATTTAAAAGGATGGTAGAGTCAGTCAAGACTTCCAATTGTTTATCTTTTCTGAGGCGCTGAATAGTGGCTAGGCCTCTCTTTGAATTGGTTAGGCTCTTTCGGAGCGCTGGCTAGTCAGGTAGTCTTTACAGACTTAGCTGAGCGGTACTTGGCCTTGAAGCTTAGTTTTATTTTTTTACTTTTGGTCCTAAGCTAACGCTATCCATTGGAAAGCCGCAAATATTATTACAGATGAGACAACAGGCAGACAAAGGATTACATATAGAAACACACCCTCAAACATCCACCGAAACCTAAGTAGGGCCCAAAGCAGTATTGCAGTTCAGATAAGAAGTGAGCACATTGGTGTTAACTCTTATCTGTATCGAAGGAAAGTTCCCGGAGTGATTGATCCAAAATGTCAGTGTGGATATCCGTCTCAAAATGTCAAACATATGGTCTTGGCGTGTCCTCAGTGGGCCATGGGAAGAGGAGAGGTGCTTCAAAAGGCAAAAGACAGGTCATTTGCGGCAATGATGAACAGCCCAGATGACATAGAGAGAATAACTAAATGGATCCTGGCAAAAGGCTGGTTTGAACAATTCCGGCTTGCAGGAGAAGTAGAAATAGCATTGGATGAAAGGATGAGACGATGTGGACAAGGATAAGACGGATTTCACACTGTATAAACAGTGTAATCGCACTTTCTGTAGGAAACCTCAGAAACAAAATAGACACGAGACAGACAGTTGTAGGGGGTTTTTACCGAATATGGTTTCCTCCTGTGTAAATATAATAGCTAATTATACCTGCATGGGCCCATAGGGTACCTGAACGGGCTAAACGAAATCAAATCAAAAGCTAACGCTATCTTTTCCACATTGGGTCAAGGACCGGTGGAGCCGGCAAGGATCACTGCTTACAGGCCCAACTCATTCCAACCGCATGAACTTCTACTGAAATTGTAGAAGTTAACAGCAAAACTAAAATCAAAAACATAAATCAAAAACTAATATCAAATTTGGAAGAAATACTGTTTGGTCTGGATCCCGCGCTTCTCGCTCGTTCCCTTTCCTGCCACATCTTCCACGTGACTTTTTCTTATCTCCGCTGAGAGCGAAAGACTAGTTCGCAGATACCCTGAATTCAGCTGGTATCCTGCCATATATTTTGAAGCTATCTGTAGACTTCACCGAGGGTTGCTGTACCCTCAAACTTCTTCTTCGGATTCCAGGGTTCCGAACCCCGATCCCTCGGCCATCGAGACATCCTTCGTTGAGGCCATCGTTTCCTCTTCGGCCCTTTCGGCTGCAGCCCTAAATCGAGCCACTTTCGCGAACTCCCCTTGCTGGATCTGGCGGATCAGCGCGAGCTGCTCTTTTGTCACCGGTCCGGACTTGCTGGGTCTGGCTAAGCAGGCCCGGGAATCCGATCGGTGAGGTCCCCCACAGTTTCGACACTGGGTGAGGGCCTTGCACTCTGATTCTGAGTGCATATTAGATCCGCAGTTCCAACAAGCTGGAGCGCGGGAACAGCCACGGGTGGCGTGAAATTCAAGACACCGTTTGCATTGTTCGATTTTGCGACGAGGTCGGAAGAGCTTTGCAGCTCCAGAGTCGTCGAAAAGGCGGAATCCAGGTCGAGGAGCGGATTCTCGGGGAAATAGCGCTTGCCAATTTGAGTAGGGCGCCCCTGGTTTGCTAGTCCCATGTGGACGAACCAGAAAGGGAACCAACTGGGTCACTCGCGTGACTTCGTTAGCAACCATCTTTGCCGTCACGGCGATTGGGCCAGCAAGAGTTCGAATTGTCTCCGGGACGGTGGCAATTTGCATGGCAACCAGATTTGATGCTGGTTCCAGTTTGATTCCAGATTCGCTCCGTGATGTGGAGGAATCTAGGAGCTCTGTTCGAGCGAGTTAATCCTTTGCGGTTATTGCAAAGCCGGTCTTTACCCGCTGAACGAACGTGATATTGTTGGCAGCGGTTCCCAGCACCTGAGACACCGCTATCCTTACTCCAGCTGGAGAAAGGAGACGGTGGGGATGGAAATAGTCAAGGCGGAGAAAAAGTCGTGAATCGGCTTTTGACCTCGAGTTGGCACTCTTTGCCTTGGGGGCGGGTGGTGCTGCCTTTTTTTTCAATGGCCCAGCGCTGCGGGCTAGGCCTACCCGAGCTACGGTGGCCCAAGTTGTCTTTGGGGCCGGAGCCTGGGTTGTTAGAGGGTTAGGAACCCTTATTTCTGGTGCCCTCGGCGGAAGAGGGTTGGCGGGGCGAGCAGGGAGAACTGGTGGTGTGCTCCCTGGGCCAGATTGTACGAACTGGCCGATGGCTGCTCGAAGATAGACTTTTATGCCGTCTACAAATTCTTTATTTTCGCCGATCGAAAGAGGCGAAAGTGCTGCTTCAACACTGTTTATTGCAGTCGAGCAGATGGCGAGGCGGGCCGTAATTTGCGTCGTACGTCGCTTTTCGGCCTCCATCACAGTTTGCAGCTCTAGTGGAAATTCCATTGCTGATGTAGATGCTACGCCTTTAGAGGCTGGCACAGCATTGTTTCCTGCAAATGATTCTGCACGTTCGGTTGTCTTTTCTCGAACAACTTCCTTTCGTTTCCTGGAGCTGCTTGCCAAAGGGGGCAGTTCGACGGGAGTTTTGGTCTTGGGACCATTGTTTTCTGCTCTGATCGGTTCAGAATCAGTCATCTCTTGATCGGGAAGATTTGTGGACTTCCCTGGGACAAAGGCCTCACTCGCAAATAGGCTTGATAATTTTTGTGCGAGGCCAGTAGGTTTTGGACACAATGGTGTCCGTTCAAAGCCGGCTGAAGTTGTCGGCTTTGGGCGATTTTTTCTCACCGGAGGCATTTTAAATACCTCGCGACGGTTAACAATTCGAGAAGTCAAGCACAGAAGTGATCATAGGAATGGAAAATGGGAAAAAGGGAATTTTCGAATTTCTCGAAATGTGCGTTTGTTTTGTTTGTTTGTTTTTTTTTTAAATCATTTAATGTGTATTCAGCTATCTAGCTATGACACATGACCGGTGCTATGTATACATGTGGGATGACTCTTTTGACGTTAGAGACACTCATTCTCCGGATTTTATTTGCAAATACCACTATGAGGTATGTTTGCTTATACAACCAGTCGACCCTCTTCCGTTAGTACCCACCAAAGGGAATTTCAAAGGCTTTGGTTATCCAAGCATGCCTAAGTCATCCATGAATACCAGCACCGCGAGAAATGTGGTTATGTTTTGCCGGATTTGAACCAGCGATCTACTGTCTCAAGTGGGATATGTGTCCAAGCTATCCAGACTTTACTTGGCAGACCGGCCAAGACGATGTACCATCGCACCATCCAATCATGGCGATGTTTATAGTTTCGCCTACATTCTCGCAACCGAAGACTTGGCACGCACAAAGTTCATTTTTTAAAACTCCTTCCCAAAATTCAAAATTCCACGTCCCTCGAGTATGATCCATCCTCCGCATCAACTTATTGTTATGCTCAGCTATGTAGGATGGTAGATCTAGTAGCTGGTGTATAGGTAGTTATTATGGCAGCATGGCGTTATGGCGCATGAAGGAGATCCAGTCTCTACATAATTAAATTACATGCAGTAATGTGTGCATTACGAGAGATGGGTTGTTGATATAGGACAAATGGCATGGCTGCATAGTTGGTTGCACACTTTGGTGAGCTGCATATTGGTAACGTGATCGGTCTACAAACGAACAAGCTAGGGCATTAGGGACGAGCTTCCCCCAATCTGTAACATAATAATAATCATAGTCACTTCACTTCTGCAAATCAATGAAGACATCTCTCCACATACTATCTTTGCTGTTCCAGCGCAAGTGTACATTCCCAAATCATATACCAATCATAATACTTATCAACTTGTCCTGATCCCTCTCACATCCATCCCAAGGAACTCTCTTTTCCAGATTTGCGCGCCACGCATTGCTTCCTCCTGCGGGTATAAATATAGGCGTGGGAGTGTGTTTGGTGACGAGCTGAGGCTAGAGAAAGTCGACGAGAGGTGTGATCATTAGAATGAGGATGTACTAGGTCGTACTTGTAGACTTGATGAGGCTTAGGTAGGATTCGATCTCTTTGGAAGTGGAAGATTGACGTGGTGGAGTGATTTGAATCATTGCCTTGTGGGCCAACTTGTTTGGTATTGCGAAATTTGACTGAACTTGGCTCTGGGAGAATATTTCACTCCCAGGTTTGTAGAGGACACCGCTTAAAGTTGTTCAGTCATGCCCTCCTATTGTACTACTTGAGTCTATGTCTATCTAGCACATTGGGCTCCTCTTTGATCCAGGACACACCTTGAACAGTGCTCCTTGCCTCTTGTGTTCCTAGTAAGATCATTGATATATTACCCGTGATGAATAGCCATTCAGAAAAGTATTTACCCGTGTCATTCAGCCACCTTTTCCACGGAACCTTGTACCCAATAAAAATAAAAATGGTAGCAATGGAAACTGCGTGCGCGGGAAAAAGTCCCAAAAAACTTGCAGCCCCAGCCAGGCGAGGCCTAGACACCGGAACCACATTAGGTGCGCATATTCATCTATATCTCCCTTCTTTGCAACAGTCGAGGCCGACTTGATCCAATCCAGCATCGCTTTATGGGGTGCTGGGTACGCTCCGGAAACTCATTGGAAGGCTTTTCCTCTATGATCAAGGGTTGGTGATGAGTAGGGCCCCGACCCTAACATCTGATCTAATCGTGTTAGCTTCATGATGATGGTGATAGGGGAATGTGATGAGAGATGAAGACAATACAGACCGCAAAAGCGATTGGGAATCCTCGCCGAAGCGAGAACTTTGTTATTCAATCTCGGCTCTGCAGACTCTACAGTGAGATCTGGAGGTTTGTAGGAGACACCACTGACAGGTGTTGAGAAAAGTCCCCCAGTTCCTTTCAGTGAGTCATTGTGACGGCCCTGCACCAGAGTATTGAGTACAGATGCAATGAAGTAGCGATTAGTCAGTGTTGTATTGAGCTACCCTGTATGGAATGCACGGACCAGGTGTAAATTATGTATTATTATTAAATTAGGAGGCCTTCTGTTACTGTTTAACTATAGAGAAGACAATAGAATTATCACAGTGGAAGGAGGTCAGATAGAATGAGAAGCGATAGTGTGCTATTTTCAAAATAGTGCCAGACAATAACTACTAAGTACAAATTTCCACCACGCGGCTGATCTGCATGAGTAGTGTTATTGACGCGACTCCTAAGCTTGACATTGACTGGCTCGGCAAGTTCCTACACCAACCAGACACAACTTATCATTTAACAATTATTATAGATCTGTAGATGTATAGTTTCGCCCTCAGGGCTCCAAACATGCAATGAGCAAGGCAGTGTAGGTGTTTGAACATGAAACACCTACACGTGACATGAATGCTAATCTAGTCTTGGCATTACTCAGCAAACACCCACACCTCATGTATATAGAGCTCGCTGTAGTTACTCCTATTTCTCCTTCCATAGCCAATCTATCTTACATTCCTAAGGCTGCCTCTCTACCATTTTCATACCTCGTGATTTTGGCTATCTTTTTCAGAGACCCAGCCTACTTGATTCACTCACACACCCACGCACTACACTTTCAGAGTGAACCACAGTCCCACAGTCCCATAGCCCCATAGTCCCAATTTTACAGAAGTCAATGTCCTTGGAGACTAAAACTCTCAAAGAACTCACCAATCCCCAAAACCCCGCAACAGGACGATTCATAAGAAGGACCATACACCAAGACACCATGGCAAGTATGAAGATATCCAAAGAGCTTCCCCTTTTCAATGAAAAGGTTAAAAAATTCGCCTCGCCATCACGGAAAAACGCGCCATCAAAGCCAACAAAGATCGAAAAGTTCGATGGAAGCAACGCAGATTTCAAGACTTGGTCCACTGCTATGGACCTCCGTTTTGTCAAATACCCCGAAGACTTCAGCACTCCAGAGTCGCGCCTCACAGAGATTGCGGAGCGTTGTTCGGGTCGCGCTGCAAACTGGATGAATGCAATCATCACCGGCAATTGTGAGGATCTCATTGATGATTATGCTGAATTTATCGCACAGTTCTCTAGAACCTTTCAGGACGCGCAGTACATCTCGCGTATGTAAGACCAGTACATGACTAGACATGTAAAAGGTTCTGTTACCATCTTCGCGACGCAATTCGAAGAAGCATCCCATGCTTTGGGTTACCCTCCCAATGTTATGGCACTCCAGTTCCTACATCACATGCAGCCCGAGATTAGAAAGGCGCTAAACCGTCAACCAACCCTCGACCGCGAGGACTATGAAATGGTCCGGAAACTTGCGGTAGAGGTAGACAGCAATATCTACCTAGAGCGCAAAGAGGAACGTACTGCACGGCCACGTACTTACACACCCATTGTCACTCCTGCAACTAACGTCCGCGCTGAAGAAACGACACAACAATACGGAGCTCGCCATAGAGGCACACGCCCTCCCCTCACAGATACCGAGAGAAACCGTCGGCGAACCCATAATCTTTGTCTATACTGCAGAGCAAAGGACCATTTGGTTGAAAGATGTCAGCTCACAAAGGGACAACGCCGCCTCAACACCACGGCATATGAGCTAGACACTGCAACCTCTATACACCACAAGAACGAATCTGTACGTACTCACACCCCCTAATCTGCTAAATTGCAAACCTGGCGCTCCCCCATTGACTTCACCCCTAGGATTGAATCTCGACGTCCTCAACTCAAAGTCAAAGGGTCAGTGAGTGGAAAGGTAGTGCATGCATTAGTAGATAGTGGTGCAGAAGATAGTTTCATCAATAAAAATATTTTACCAGAACTTCAAATCCAAAAGTCTACTCCTTTGTCCCAACCAATTATCGCTGCAGACGGCCACATCATCGTGACTAGTGATAAAGCAAGAATTGTAGAAGTAGAATTTAAGTTTAACAACCTTGCAAAAGGTCAATTCTCCTTTGTACCAGCTCCATTGAAACATCAAGATGTATACTAGGTTACCCATGGTTGCAATGCCTAAATTCAAACATTGATTGGATTACCAGTAAAATAGAATGCAACAATCTCACACCACAAAAGCGTCCCATAAAAACACAAATAATCAAAACAAGGCCACGCACATTTCCCTCCCCTCTCTGCACTGTAGGTCAACGCTGGGGTGCATGCCCACTCAATAACAGTAAAGCCATCGCTATGACAAAGCACGTACGCGAACTCATCCGCAAAAACACCAGTGTCCAACAAAACAATGGCCCCAACACTGAGGAAAGAGTTCCCATAATTGATTGGCAAAAATTATACCACACCCTAAAATTGAACACCTTATTGAAAGAACACGAGCCCGACACCTATCAAGCCCTACCTAACCACTATACGAAATTTAAAAATGTTTTCTCAAAGCCAAAAGCTGAAGCACTAGCAAAAGAAAGGTCAAACATGAACTGCGAGATTATTCTCAAACCAGATACCAAGATGTGTCGCGTAAGAGTATACAAGATGTCTGATACAGAACTCAGTCTACTCAAAACCTATATTGACAATGGAATCCAACAAGGATGGATCCGCAAAAGCAAATCTCCTTGCGTCTGTCCAGTTATGTTTCGAACTAAGCCGCATGACTCGGCCCTACGCCTTTGCGTGGGCTACCGTGCCGTAAACGCCAATACAGTCAAAAACGCTTACCATTTGCCCCAATTAGATGACTACCTTAGCAAAATGCACGGCGCTAAATTCTTCACCAAACTCGATCTTCGTAACGCCTTCCATCTGCTACAAATGAAAAAAGGTGATGAGTGGAAAACTGCGTTTATAAGCCAATTCGGCCTCTACAAATACCAAGTCATGCCTTTCGGTCTTTGTAATGCTCCAGCGACTTTTCAAGCATGGATGGACAATATTTTCCGAGAATTAAGAGAAACCATGATGTGTTACCTTGATGATATCCTAATATGGGGAGAAACCAAAGAAAAAGTTATTGAACGTACCCACAAAGTCCTTTATATCCTTGAAAAGAACGGCCTATACGTCTAGCTTGAGAAATGCGAGTTTGAAGTCACGAGAATATGGTTACCGGGTTACATAATCAAGCACAATAGTATCACAATCTGCCCTTCTAGAATATCTCTTGTCACGGAGTGGCCTGAACCTAAGACTCTCAAACAAGTACAATCATTCTTAGGCTTCATCAACTTCTACCGCCGCTTCATTCCACGGTTCTCCGAACTTGCCCACGGACTTACGGCTCTTACTCGTAAAGAAAACCTTCAACGTCGCTTCGAACTCAGCAAAGAAGGTCTTCAAAGTTTTAGAACTCTTCAAGACGCTTTCAAAGACTCGAAAGTATTGGGTATTTGGGACTCCAGTCTTCCAGCAATCCTCGAGACTGACGCTTCCTGCTACGCTATTGCCGGCATATTATCACAAATCATTAATAGTGTTAAAGTTCCCATCGGATTCTACAGCAAGAAACATTCACCGGAAGAGACCAGGTATGCTACACCAGACCAAGAACTCATGGCAATTTGTTACAGTCTCCAACACTGGCGTCATTATCTAGAAGGCGCTCGACACCAGATTACTGTCTACTCAGACCATTGCAATCTCACAACTTCCAACACCACCGCAAACTTGAACCGCGGTCAAGCCGGTTATCGGGCACAGATGAGCAGGTTTGACTACGTTATAAAGCATATCACAGGAAAAAATAACCCCGCAGACTTACCTTCACGCCGCGAAGATTATAAACTCACAAAAGATGATGCACCTGAGGTCCACCCATTCTTATGCCTCGCCACAATGTTGCAAGTTCCTCCCGATATTTACAACGCCCTTGTCACAGCCACAGCAACCAATAATTACGCAGCCGAAGTTAATCCTTTGGACGAGGAGTCCAAGCTTAAATGGCAAAATGATATCCTGATATACGCTGACAAACGGGCGTACGTACCTCCATCCCTACGAAATCGCATCTTAGAACTATGCCACGACTCCCCTCTAGCGGGACATCAAGGCCAAGCACGCACATTAGAGAAATGCTACCGCGATTGGTACTGGCCATATATGAAAGACGACATAAAAAGATACGTCCGAGGATGCCAAAACTCTAACAAAAACAAAGACCTGCACCACGCAACCTATAGAAAACTTTCCCCACTTCCTGTTCCCGAAAGAAGATGGACCAGAGCTCATATGGATTTTATCAATGATCTCCCTACAACAAGTAGTGGTAATAACGCCATCCTTGTTGTCATTGATACCTTAACAAAAATGGCACATTTTAGCTCCGTAAAACTTAAAGGAAGCAATACTGCCAACGCTCGAACGACCGCAGATCTCTTCCGCTGAGAATGCATCCGTCTTCATGGTATTCCGGGTACCTTAATATCAGATCGAGACACCCGATTTCTTAACAAGTTTTGGAAAAATATGACGTCGAAACTGGAAATTGTCCAACAACCTGCAACAGCCTACCACTCCACGGCCAACGGTCAAGCTGAACGTGCAAACACAATAATTGAAGCCCTACTACGTTCATATTGTAACCAAGCCCAAACTGACTGGGACACATGGTTAGATACATGCGAGTTTGCTTACAATGACTCAAAAACTTCGGCCACAGGCACCACCCCCTTCTTCGCAAACTACGGTTACCACCCACACTGCCAGTCCCACCCCGAGCTTTTCAACGAAGAACCAGACCAACATAACGACGGAGCAGATTGGGTTGTAAGCAACAGCTTATACTTGACAAATACAAAGAACAGCTACTAAAAACCCAAGCGAACTTGTCAAAATACTACGACCAACGGCATAGCAAAATGAGTTTCAGAGTTGGGGATCAAGTTATGCTACATACCCGCCATTTGTCTCTCAAATTAGATAAATTGCGTAAGTTAGCACCTCGTTGGATAGGGCTATTTCCTGTGGTAAGCATCGAAGGTACGCTCACTTACCGCCTTAGTATCTGTCAGGTTCTCTGGGACTTGGTCACTTAACTTGAGAAAGGTAGGCGTGAGATTTTGGATTCTTGATGGTGAAGATGATATATCAACAAAAGTCTAGGTTCTTGATTCTTGATTCTTGAATAACTAAGGAATAATACAAGACTGAAAGCTGGAGAGCTTTCTACATGAAGATACCTGTCAGGATTGCCTTCTGTATAATCTATATATGTGGAGATAGCCAGAATCTAGTGTTCTATGATTCTGGTCTGGCCTTTTGGCCGAGCGGTTATGCACCTATCTCATGCATAATGTAGGATGGCGCCCTCTAGCCTGAATACCACCTCTTTGACCCACGTCTCCGCCCTGCTGTCTACATGCTGCTCTGACAACCAAGTTGATAAGCAGAAAATAAGAAGCCACTGGTCTAATAAAAATAATATTTTAAAGGAAAATGTACCCGAAATTGCCAACTTGGGCACGGTGCAGGAATCCCAAACTTCACAGTTTGAGGGGGAGATTAGTCCTGACATGAGTCCACCAATATCAGAAACCGCACCAGTTAGAAAAGAAGCGACTAAACCAGTACAACAGACACCACCATCCAGCACACGGGTGCAAAACGGAACAATAGACAATGAAAATATAGAACATATAGATCACTTGCGGAATCCTCCAATGGAGAAGATTGACACCCCAAGTTTCGGGGAACCCCAACAAATCGAATCAGACTATTCAAGTTCAGACAAAGAGTTAGAGGGACAACATGAGTCAGAGGAAAAGACCAGAAATACAGGAATGAAAAATGGGAAACAAAAGGTTGTAGACCTAAATGGAAATAATGAAAAAGTAGATGTAGGAACTAAAGAGCAGGGGGAGCTCATCACGACCAATGAAAAAGAAAAGGAAAAGGAAGTCAAGCGGTACGACCAAGTAATGACAGGATGGGATCCAATACCACCGCTAGCAGGAAAAAAGCACAATCGCTCCCCTGAGCCTCCAATTGAACGCAGCCAGCGCGGGAGGCCGGTGAAGAGGCAAGATTACCATCGACTACATCACGGGAAAGCTATTGTACCAATTGCGGATTCCAAAACATGGTCAGAAGCCACAGCAGGCTCAGATGCAACAGAATGGCTGAAAGCAGCCGACGAAGAATTTACATCACTCAAGGAAACCGGTGCAATTAAGATCATCGATCGGAGAAATTTACCAAGGGGTAGAACACTAATGAAATCAAAATGGGTCTTTAAGAAGAAATACCACGCTGATAGTACTCTAGAGAAATACCGATCCAGATGCACCATCAAAGGATTCACCCAGAGATCCGGGATTGACTACAAGGAAACCTTTGCGCTAACACCACGACCGGAAACAGGTTGGATGAAGCTGTCGCTCGCGCACAAGTTCGAATGGAGCCGTCGCCAGGGCGATGTTCCAGTAGCATTTCTAAACCCAGATCTAGACGTAGACCTATACATGGAACTACTGGAAGGGTTTAAATCAGAAAACAAAATTGTATTGATCAAAAAGGGATTGTATGGCCTCAAGCAAGCAGCAGCGCTCTGGTACGACGACGTAAAGGCATTCCTAGCAACACAAGGGCTGTCGCCAACAACGACTGATGTTTGCTTGTATACAAACAAACAAAGGGACGTGTTCGCCATCATACATGTCGACAACTTCCAAGTCATGGGACCAAAACTGGAAAAGATAGAGGCACTGATGAGGGCACTTCACAGGAAGTATAAACTTAAGTCAGTTAAGACAGATTTGTTTCTTGGAATAAACACCAGCAATCCCGGCAAAGACACCTTGAAGCTATCACAGGGACAATACACAAGGAAGCTCCTAGAGAGACATGGACTGTCACAGAGCAAGACAGCCAACACACCAATGGAAAGATTTCAGGGATGAGGGTTTGACGGTGTTCCACGGGGTGCGTTGTATAGCCTAGTGAAGATCTAGGTGGTAAGTGAAGATTATAAATGGGTCAAAGGGATGACAGGTCTTCTCTAAGAAGAGATGAATGGGCAACTAGTTGCAGTAGATGTTACACGTGGGTCTTGCTGATGAAGAACTGGGCAATGGATATATGGTCTTCCCGAAGAAGAGATGGGTGAACAAATGTATTGTAAAGGGTAAATAAAGAAGACGTTGCGTGAGGAGTAAATCTCTCTCACGCCGAACTATTATATACAAGAGTAGAAGCCTTTGCCAACCGGAATTAATCGTAATCAATTCTTGCCAATATCTTCGCATTAATGGCTGTGTTCTTGTCCTTCTCTTCATGACTCTCTTGCATATCCTTACATGACTTTTTACACGACTAATTGTATAGGGGAAGCTATTATTAAATTGATGTCTTTAATTAACTACCCCTTCACCTTATCACGAATTAAAATTAGTATTAAAATTCTAATTACGGATCCGTGAAAAAAGATTGTTGGAGCCAAATGACAAAGAATGCACGGCACAATCTAAGCATGAAAACAATTCAAAAGTTGGAGGGCTACAGTATTTGGCAAACAACACGCGACCAGACATAGCCCACTCTGTGTACCACTTGACCAGGTATCTAAACAACCCATCGGACGGGCACCACATGGCAGCACGCAGAGTGCTGCGGTATATTGCAAAAGATCCTGAGAAAGGAATAACATTCTCGAATGTTCAAGGAAAGCCGGTCTTAGAGGCATACTCAGATGAAAACTTCGCTGGGGACCCATTGTCAAGCAGGTCAACATCAGGATTGCTGATAAGACTATCTTCGGGACCAATTAGCTGGCAATCCCACCTTCAGCAAGATGTGGTCCTTAACAACCTAGGCCGAATACCTGGCAGCAACTGAGACGTGCAGGCAACTGACATGGGTTAAATCCCTCCTCGAAGAATTGAATTTAAAGAAATTTGTCGAGGTATCAACATACACAGCACTATTTGTCAACAACCAGTCGGCAATATCATTGATCAAATATCATGACAATCACAAGCGCTCAAAGCACGTCGCACTCCGGAATCACCACTATTGCCAGCTATATCGGAACAGAGAAATCTCGGTAGCATACATTTAAACAAAGAAACAGTTAGCCGAATCCCTAACAAAAGTCGGCTCAACCGTTCCACTTGGGTAGCCCACAGTCAGGTTCATGTCAAGACAGTGAAAACAATGGTTGTTAGGGGGAGTGTTGTGATATTGCTCCTCAATGACCGGCTCTGCGCCGACAGGTGCATATGCACGTCGTGCGCTGACCAAGGATACAACTGCTGCTGCTCCTGAGTCTCGGACTTGGGAGCACCAGGTTGAGTCATTGCAGGGCAACAATTGAGGTAGCATTGTGGAGAGTCTACTGACAAAGTGCGCTAGCCATAAGCGGTTAGATATTGCCGGACAATTACAGGATAGCGCCCAGAGGTATATGCAGACCTCGTGCGCTACTGGAACCATACAACTGCTTCCGCTCCTGAGCAGTGGACCCATGAGTGCCGGGCTAATTCGTTGCAGGGAAATGATTGGAGCAGCGTCGTGATGAGTCTATTGACCACACTGTTGAAATTATGGATTATAGAGATAAGTCAGGTGATGGTTAATGGAACTAATTGATGAAGGGTTTGGTTGTTGAGTTTTCTATTATTTCTGTGTTGGGATACACTTTCTCGATCCTACTAGGCTCGATAATTAGTAGTCCCAACTGACTGGTGTTTGGCAAATGGAGATTGCGTATACTCTGTGCTAGCGTTATTTACTGCTGTTAATAGGAGATCCCGCACGGGCTATCTATTTGGATTAAAAGGAGTCTGGTACCTGTGTTTAGTAGAGTAGTTGAATTGACATCCTTTTATCCTTCATTATTGCATAAGCTTCCCTCTACCAATAAGTCCACGAACCAAGTAGTGGGTTATACATTTCAATACACACATGCTAACCAGGAGCGGTTAGGTATTGCTGTCACAGGCTCATACCTGGTTATCATTGGGCTGCTGCCTAACAAATAAGGCTTGAACTCTTCCAATCATACTAAACATCATACATGTCATGAACCCCTCCACAACTCATTAGATCCAAGTATACGCCTTGGCCCAGTTCATGCAAATCTATTCTTAAATGACAAATTTAGATTGCAGACAGGACGACTCGAACACCAGTCATGAGTCATCTAAGCCACATGCATCATAACTATTTTAATAACTAAAATTACTAACATTAAAATGAAGCTGAATTAAAATAGACGGAGATGCTGGTGTTTGTCGGAGGACAGGTCATGATCTATTTTGAGAATGGTATGAAATGAGGGAACGAGATCATAGTCTTGTAAATAAATAGGAGGCTTTCAGTCATGTCTCTGCTCGTTACTTTAAGATTTTCATTTGTATCTAGCTCTGAGTTCAGTTTGAATAAAACGCCACTGTAAGACTGTCACATCACCAGGCAATTACGGGATAGCACTCAGAGGTACATGCAGACCTAGCGCACTTTCGGAACTATACAGCTGCTTCCGCTCCTGGGTAATGGACTAAGGACTGCGGAACTGAGACATTGTATGGGAACAATTGGAGCGACGCTGTAGTGTGTATACAAACCACAGGCGCGAACCATGGACTGGATAGCTGTCGTTCCTGAACAGCTAGGTTCAGGATCGCTCAGCTGGGATATTACACGTAAGTGATTGAGGCCATGCAGCGATGCATACTCGGACCATGCACGCCAGCCACCGGAACAGCGGATGCCTCTCATGAGAGATGGACTCATGAGCTGCAGAGTTTTGCCTAGGCACGCTGTTGGCAGTAAGTCAGGAGAGAGAACGTAGACAATGACATGGGTCATATAAGAGTATATAAGTAGTCTATGTTCTGTCTCATGAACAGTATTGGAAAAGTATCAGAAACCTGCCAGCAATCACATTACCAAGTATCAAACCATCTGAACAAATGTTGTGACACATTCAAGTAACTATGTTCCCATTTAACTCATAACCTTAACAACGTGTCCCACTTGATAGCCCCAATTATTCTAAATTCTAACACTCCCCCATAGAGTAATTGGGCGTATTCCTTGTCTTCCTGTATCTTTGCTTCATTAGAAGTTTGCTTGAATGGTTAGTTGTCTGCTCCCAAACTGGTCTTTTAATTTTCGGTGAATCAATCCAAGCTAGGTATTCTTTGGAATTGATTCATCACCTCTCATTTTCCCCCACGTACACCATAGAGTCCTAAGATTATCCAAAGCGATCCTTTAATGTCTTATTGTTTTGTTCAAAGGCTCCCCCAGGATTTTGGCGCCACAGTGTCAGCCTTTCTCAGCTCTCAAACACACTCCCCCAGTTTCCGTGCCGTGGTTGTTCCGGTGTATATTCCATCCAATTCACTAGTGTTCCATTGTCTTGTTTCCCTCTACAAGCAACATACCCCACTAGTGTATCCCTTCCAAAGACTTTCATTTCAGAGTGTTCCGTGTGATAGCTCTCTCATAACATCACCAAGCTCCACTTGATTTAATCTCTATCTTACTTTGGTCTTTTTATCATCAACTTTTCTTCTACTTATTGACTTATCTGCCCCACGGCAATATAAAATTAAACGAATATAGCTGTTGAAATAGTGATAATGTTGAAGCCTTGGCTGTTATAGAGACTTTTTGTTGTCGGATAACTTGACGAAGTTCCCTCTGCTTATATAAAGGCGAAGACTATAAGAAGGGAAGTCTTGAGAGTATAAATAGCAGCTTTCGAAGAGGAGCTACTGAGTTGAGTTTCGAACTGCTATCGGAAATTAGCAGTGAATTTTTTGCGACAGCTTTCGGATAGGAACTGTCAGGTTGAGGATTCAACAAACCTTGGAAGAGAGTCGAGGAATTGAAATTAACAGCTGTTGTAAAGTAGCTATCAGACTGTGATGTTAAGAGCAGCTTCTGTACTGTAGCTTCCAGGTTTATGTACTTTTTTTTGGCTTCTTTCGGGTCGACTCATTTGACCCATGGGCTCTCTCTCTCAGAGTCCATTGACGGGCTGGCTACCGGTGCATTTTGGAACCATCAATCCTCACGAGGGTTTCGCAGCGACCCCTTATCTTCAGTACTCGACCTGTACTTTCCATAACGAAGGCGATAACCTCCTGTCTTCTTAGGCGACGGCCATTCACTTTTCTTTAGAGATTGCAACTCAAAGTCGATGGCCTTGTCTTGGGTTCAAGAAGGTGACGGCCTCCTAGTTGGATTAACTTGGCGCAAGTAGAGCATATACCCTTCTACTTGCCCACAACGAAGATAGTATCAAACTCCGGGCGATAAAATTTGATTGCGCGAGCGACAATCCGGGCTCATAACCTATTAAGGAAATAATGACCCCACAGTCATAGAGGTTGTTGAGCACATTGATTTAAGTAACTACTGAAATGAAACTAAGTACAGAATTTTCAGTCACGTGTATATTAGCAACGTGTCCCACTTGATAGCCCCAATTACTCTAAATTCTAACACATTAAACTGTCAATTGATCGTCATTGTTGTCTGACAAATCTAGCTCGTCAAAGCCATCATCACCACGCCAGCTGTTTTAAACTCAAATTTCGGGGCAGTGCCTCTATTTTTTGGAAACCTAGACTTAGTATATATGGAGGTTTAGATTTCTAAGTATGATCATCAAAAATCAATTCCATTGATCCGATTGCATATGGTTAAGCTTAGCTGGGCAGCATGAGGTTCAGTGGTATCTGAAATTCAGTGGCTAGGAAATACTATCTTGCGATAATTGAGTGGCTGGTTGTTGCTAGATTACTTGGAGTTTGGGATCACTAGAGCCTCGGGGATCTGTATTTAAAGATAGACTTATTTGTATATGTTAAACTAAGTCAACGGAGTATTTTATTTATTTATTTATTATTTATTTATTTATTTATTTATTTATTTATTTATTTATTTATTTATTTATTTATTTATTATTTATTTATTTATTATTTATTTATTATTTATTTATTTATTTATTTATTTATTTATTTATTTATTTATTTATTTATTTATTTATTTATTTATTTATTTATTTATTTATTTATTTATTTATTTATTTATTTATTTATTTATTTATTATTTATTTATTTATTTATTTATTTATTTATTTATTTATTTATTTATTTATTTATTTATTTATTTATTTATTTATTATTTATTTATTTATTTATTTATTTATTTATTTATTTATTTATTTATTATTTATTTATTTATTTATTTATTTATTTATTTTGAATTTGAATTTGATTTCATTTAGCCCGATTTGGCGCCTTATGGCCCATGCAGGTGTCTACGAACTCTAATATTTATATAGGAGGAAACCTTTATGGTAAAAACCCCCTCAACTTCTAAATTTATATACACTTTAAGTTTGTGTTACCTTCGCGAAGTGCACTAATACTGTTTTATCCAGTGCGGATACCGTCCACTCCCTTATTTGTGGCAAGAGACCAATTCTCCTTGCTGACCTCTCTCTCACTCATCTTGGCCTCGACTTCAAGCGTCAGTCGAAACTGCTCTAGCCTTCCTTCCTGCTGGATCCATCTAGTTATCCTTGCAATATCCGTGGGATTGTTCATCATGGCCTCAAATGACCGGTTCTCTGCCTTTCTCAGTATTTCTCCTCTTCCTTTGGCCCAGCTGGTGCAGGCCATGACCATATGCTTCACATTTTGGGACGGATATCCACATTGGCATCGTGAACTGTCTACTCCCGGAACTTTTCTTCTGTGCAGATAGGAATTGAACCCAATGTGTTCGCTTCTTATCTGTATAGCTATGCTGCTCTGGGCCCTGTTAAGGTGTTTATGGATACTAGAAGGTGTTCCTCTTTGGCTCATTCTTGTCTTTCCCGTCTTTTCATCTGTAAAAAGGTTTACTGCGTTCCAGATTTTGGGATCTGCTGTGGCGTGGTGGTTACTTTATTTATTTATTTATTTATTTATTTATTTATTTATTTATTTATTTATTTATTTATTTATTTATTTATTTATTTATTTATTTATTTATTTATTTATTTATTTATTTATTTATTTATTTATTTATTTATTTATTTATTTATTTATTTATTTATTTATTTATTTATTTATATTAACGTCGTGCCTGCGCACAACACAGTGCTTTAAAGCCCCATGCCGGTTAGCTCAGCCTATAAAGGGCTACCCGACGCACCGGCATTCCCATAACAAAAACCCGATAAAGACCCCACTGCTCCCGGTCTGCATAGTCGCCAGATCAGTGAGACTCTTCTTAAATTAATATAAATTATATAATTAAAAGCGGAACTTAAACTACATGTGGATATTCGTATTTAGATAGCGTTGGTGTCTAAGTAATCAGGGCTGTCCTACAAATGTAGGTGCAAACAGAGCTTCCCCAATTAATGGTACCTTTGAAACTCTTCGAAAAAATAGAGTGGACTTAAGCCAGTCTCGGAACAAGATAGCTCCTTCTGGTGAGCTTAAAATCCAGCGAGCGTCTGGGGGACGGGGGCGATTGGCTCCACGAAGCCGCGCCTGTAGTAGGCCATGTTGACAGGTCATGAAATGCTCCGGCGATTTATCATGTCCACAAGAGCATGTTAAAGGTGCGCTGTTGTGTGCGAAACGACGGTGGTATGCTGCAAAATCACCATGGCCAGACCGCGCAGCGAGAAGAAGGCCAAGGGACCGGCGATCCATACTAGCGAGCTCTGGGGTGATGCGGGAGCTTGGCCCGATTCTGAGCGCTCTATACCGGTCAGGGGCATTTCGCGACCAGTATTCCGACGCAGAGGCCTCGTAGCGAAGAATGACAATTCTCCTTGCTCTGGCAATGGAAGGGGCCAGGTTGGGGGCGGTTATAGTACAGACCGCTTTGGCGAGAGCATCTGCCTTTACATTTCCAGGGATTCCTGAATGCGCTGGGCACCAGCGTACAGAGACCCTTCCTGGCTCAGTGTATCTGGCACGGTTCCTTGAAGGCCAGGATCTTGCAAGATCCCGAAATTTTGCGATCCGAGTCGAGCTGGATGGGGTCGGCGGTCCAAGGAGTAAGCGAGACGCTGCCTCTTGGTTGTCGAGACAGACAGTGATATTGGTGGCGTAGTATGCCATTGGGTTTCTAATTGCAGCTGCGAGGCCTTCCATGGCCCCGACAACTTCTGCATCATATACTTCTGCTGATTGACCTAGAGGAACAGAGCCTTGATCAATCACATGTTTTGCGCCGCGATAAATGCAGTACCCTGCCCCTGCTGAGCCTTCCATCAGAGCTCCGTCTGAGAAAACGAAGAGGTCCAGGGGCGGTGCTGAGGAATGCCATTGGGTGAAGACTTGGAGCCCTGCTTCACGACCAGCTGCTCCAATTGCTGCGAGTATTTCGTCTCTTTTTGGTGTCCAGGGAGGTGAAGTCGTGTTTAATGATAGTTCTGGGGAAATTCTGCGCCGAATCCAAGCCATTCTCGGAGATTTCCAGCGCAGTCGCAAGGGATGTTGGGGGTCTGCCGAGGCAACTCGCACTGCAAGCCGGTTGTGGATACGTTCGAGCCACCCCTGAGCTGATGACCATCCAATTTTCCGCAGAAGGGCGGCCACTGGAGTGGTTTTGTATACTGGCAGTGCTGCACGGGCTGCATCGTTTATCCTACGTTGAATACGAGCAATATCTTCTTTGTAGGTATTTGCTGAGAACCAGGTTTCGGCTCCGTAGAAAAGGGTTGTAAACACTGCCCCTTGTAAAGCCTGTCTAGCTAGAGCTGGTCGGATACCTCGAGCGGTATTGCAGAGGCTTTTTATGTGCGCTGTGACGGCCGTAACTCTACCGCACGCTTGCTTAATATGGTGGCGAAATTTCAAGCGGCAATCAAAGTGGACTCCCAGCCAACGAGTTTGGTCGTTAGGCCTGATCTCGACCCTGTCTGCCCGGAGGCTTGGCTCAAAGGGTTTCCCCTTTTTCCGATGGTAATATTGGAGCTCAGTCTTTGTTATCTCTAGCTCGATTCCGTTAAGACTTCCCCAAGCAAGTACGTTGTCCAGCTTTTCTTGGAGGCGAGCTGCGCATTTAGGTAGAGATGGTGCGGAAGCAAAAATTGCCACATCGTCAGCATAGCCGAAGCATCCTGGCGAGAGGCGCAGCATGCCCTCAATATCCAGGAGGAACAAAATAGGTGAGACCGGTGATCCCTGTGGGAGGCCGCATTTTATGGCGAAGGGTGGAGTTGCTGTCCCATCTAATGCGGCTACACCCTCGCAATTTTCCATGAATGATGCAGCCCATTTGATAAGATTGTGGGGCCAGCCTTGAGTACGGAGATTATGGCAGAGATGTCCTCGCTGAATGCCATCAAATTCACCTTTAACATCTACTGTTACTATACCTGCAACCTTCTTCTCTAACCAGGCGGACTGGATGTCAGAGGCGAGGGCTGTGGTCAGATCCGTTGCTGACCGGTGAGGAACAGCGCTGCACTGGTTCTTTGCAAGGATATTTTGTGAGAGGGCAAGGAAAGAGAGACGTCGGGCCATCAGGCGTTCCAGCCCCTTCCCAAGGCATGACAGCAAAGCAATTGGTCGGTAAGACTTAGGAAGAGCTTTGTTTCGGTTGCCTGTCTTCGGGAGAATAATTATGCTGGCCTTTTTAAAGGCATTTGGGTGTAGTCCTTGCAGGTCGCACAGACGGAACAAATCGGTCACTCGGGGCCCTAAAACTGGCCACGCTTGTCTTAGCGCTTCTGCGGTTATCTCGTCTAGTCCGGGGGACGATGAGGAGACTACGCAGCACGATCTGAAGACTTCCTGGTTAGTTAGTGCAGGCCAGGGGAGGCTTCTTCCTACAACAGTTGGAATTCCCATGACTATATCCTCATGCTCGATGTGCCTACTCAGCAGAGCCCCCTGAAGTAGTTGTGCCTTGGCCATGGGAGTGAAGACGAGTCCGTCTGGGCCATTGAGTGGAGGGGTATGAAAACAGGGTATTTTCTTATGCCAGCTTGTAACCCTATACGCTTCTGTGAGACAAGAGACCTGATCTACTTTCTCGCGCCACATTTCTCGCTTAGCTTTTTTCACCGCCTTGCCAAAGGCGCGGCGTTCAGCGATGGCCACTGATCCCGAGCGCTTGGCTTGGCAGAGTGCGTTGTGCGCGTTTGTACAGTCCCTGGTCCACCATCGATTTCGCGGTCCCTGTGTACGTTTTCTGGGACACGTAGCGTTGAGAGCACCTTGGAGAGCATCTACCAGGAAAGAAGCTTCTCTCTCTGGGTCTGAAGAGGGTGCGGCCACTAGTCTGTCGGAGATAATTTTACGGAAGGTGACCCAGTTGCAAGCAGAGTATCTGAGTTTTCCAGAGGTATCTCTTTCAGGTCCTGTGTCTGAGAGTTGAGTTAGTAGAGTTCTGTGGTCTGACCCGACTTCCAAGTCGTTTCGGATAGCACAAGATGCGTTGAGACTATGTCGTGCGAAGCAAAGATAGATAGTA